AGCTTTTACCACCTCTCCCTGCTGACCTGTGATGAAACCCAGGTGCCACCAGCCCCRTGATTTTATTTCACCTTTTCAAGGCTCAAATGCCTCATATTAAACCTGCTTCAAGCAATTAACATTCTTTCTCTTTCCCCTTATTCCATTTCCCAACCTACCTCTTCTCTCTCCCTCCTACATCTGGATCTRCCAATGCTGCCTTCTAACCAACAACAGATCACTCTCTCTGGTTAATCTCATTCTCCAAAATGCAAACAGTTTCTGAGCTATCCATTGTAGGAACATGCCAGATCTCATACTCCAAGAAGACAGGAGGGCTCCAGCCCAAAATTGCATTTATGGAGCTCTCTCTGTTCTGCCCTATCTGTCTGGATCGGCTCCAGAGCCTCCTAAACATCAATTCATAAAACTATTAACTTATATGCTGCTCACACATGGATACAAATCACTCTGAGTCACAGTTGGCTCCTGCTCCTTTAATAGTCAGCCTTRGGGTCATTGGAGACTCTAGTTAAATTACCACTGCAAGAGGCACCACTACCAAATTTTAACTCTTAAAGCAGCATGTCGTTTGACCCTCCAAATCATCCTAACTTTTGCTCCATAAGAAACTTCATATAAAACCTAGAAAAAACATTGTGCAAAAAGGATATGTCAAGAGAGCGGTTACTTCGACCAAAAGAAGAGGCTGGGATGGGATGGAGCAGGAGGTAAGTTCTTACCTGTAACACTGGGCTGTTTCCTAACAAAATCTTCAATAATGATGGCAAAATGTTAACATGCATTCCACGAGTGTGGAGAGTACATATAGCTGTTAGATTAACTTCTGTTCTTTGTACAAAATATGCTATAATTAACATTTTAAAATGGAAAAAGGAACATTGTTATGCACTTGATGGGAAGATCACATTCTGATTAATCGTCAGAGAAGTGGCAGGACATCCTTTGATGAACCTAAAAGTCACCAACTTCTGCATTGGTTGTATTTCATCTCCCAGGGATCCTGAAGGCAGCTGCCTGTTGGATCTGGGTGATTTTTGCAGCTCAGGCAAGAGTCCGGATGGCATGAGCAACGTCGCCAARGCTGGGGTGACGAATAAGTGATCCCACCGTGTGTGGTTATACAGTATGGCCCTCCACCCAAGATTTTGCTTCCCCCAGGCCCGATCCCCATTGTTAAATTCGGCCAGCATCTACTTCTCCCCCTTTGGGAAAGGAGGCGTGTTTTGAATGGTGTATCTATTCTGCCACCTAGCCTTCAGCGAAGTCACTACCACAAAGCTACCATAAGGGGCTCCTCCACAGACCTGAGTCTTGCTGAACTTCCCTTACCTCGGGGGTGACCTGAGAACTGGGTGCTCTTTCTTGAAGGTCAGCATATCTTCATTTGGGACTCAGCAGCATTAGTATGTTCTGGGAAAGGGACTGAAGTCAATGTCATGAGGTCTTGAAAATGGAATCGATGGTGTAAAATAAGTTTCTCTGAGACAATGGAAAGAGCAACACATGGAAGAGACTGAGGAAAAGCCCCTTGGCTGGTGTTATTCCCTCCTAACCAGAAGAACCCATAATATTTTGTGCACTGTTAAAAAGCCTAACTTCTCTAAATTGTGTTATCAGGCATCTCCTTGCCCAGGAAATCACTAAGAAACTCACAGAAAATGACCACAGGTAAGGATTCGGAAACTTTAGAAAATAAAAATGCCATTTGCCTCTTGAAACCAATTGTGCTGATAAAGACCACAAATTTTTGACCCAGTCCCATGTTTTGAAACTTGGTTTTAATACAGAGTTAATGTTTTAAAGGAAAGGGAGGAGTGATCTCTGGGAAAACAGGACACAAGAGGATGATATTGAAATCCTTACCTCTCCAAGCAAGATATGGCTAAAAGATACAGAAGCTCATCTGTGCCACAGTAGGAAAGTTCATGGCTGCAAAAATGAATCAGTAGCAAAGCAGGTCTCYGGGGAGGGCACCAGGCACCTGCCTCTGACATTAGTATCTGCATGATTAAATGAGCCCTCCCCAATGAAACTCATTGATGCAAACTTTTTGTTTKCCAGAAGCAGACTTCTAAAGGTATTTGTGAAGAGTCCTGGACCTTCAGAATGGAGGACAGGAGGAACGGAATCARCAGAGGCTTGCAGGCAAGCCCCACCACCCCATACCTTCCCCCTCCACTGATCTGTATTACTTATGGACTCCTTAAGGCAAAACTCACACTGCCAATCCCCAGTCTTTAGGGAAAAAAAAATCATTCTAGAACATCCCAGGGTGCCGAGAATTCTTATTTCTCTTGTGTCTTTGGGAAACTTCACCTGAGCCCTAAGACAGTAGCTCTAGTCTCTGAATTCCTCTAGACCTAAACCCATTTGAAGGGGAAATAAAGAATGGTGGCTTACAGGTTATGAAAGAAACCTAGGTGCCTGTCAATAGATGAATGGGTAAAGAAAATGTGAGATATATCACACACACACACACACACACATACACACACACACACACACACAATGGAGTTTTACTCATCCTTAAAAAATGAAATTGCATCATTTGCAGCGAAATGGATGGAACAAGAGAACATGCTAAGAAAGATAAGCTCAGAAAGTCAAGGGTTGTTTGTTTTCTCTCATATGTGAAAGCTAAAAAGGAAAGGAAAGGGACATGATGAAGATAGAAGAGAGACCAGGAGGATGGAGATCAGTGGACACAGGAAAGGAGGTAAAGAAGAAGTCCAGGGKAATGGCATAGGTCAATGTATGTTATGTGCATGTGTGAGTATATCAGAATGAATCCTCCTTATGCATAATTATAACCCAACAATAAAAATCTAAAAAAAAAATCAGTGGCTTATCGCTGACAGTCTTAAGCAGAGTGATTTCTCCCCATACCCCTGTCCTCCCTTAAGAACCAGCTCCCACCACATTCTCTTCTTCCTTTCCCCTGTCCTCACACAGTCTATTTTTCAGCCACTGGAAATCAGTTGTACAAAAAGAGGTGTCACTTGACACCATCTTCTGGGAATTCAGGGTGTCTAGATCTAGGCAACTTATGTTCCTTCCAAAGGACACCCAATTTCCCCATTCATCTCAAATGCTACCAGTGTACCCACAGTGAGCAGAGCTGCTGGGAGCCTGCAGAAAGGGATCACACACCATGCACTGTTCTTCTAGTCTGAACTGGACACACATGAGGAAATAACACATGACTTCCCTCACTTCTAAAATGCTTCAACCAAATTTTTGAATATTAATTTGCTCCCTGCTTCCCAAGACTCCAGTCAGAAGGGAGAAGCAATTGGAATCAGCCTTACTAATTTTTTCTTTAATTTAATCATCACACACACAGTTCCTCCTCCCTCTCCCAGCCAACGCCTAAAACTCCTTTGGCAATAGCAGCAAAAGCACAACTTTAAACTTTGGGCTTGTTTTAAAATGTGCCTTTCGGCAAGTAGATAAGTAAGGAGAGAGATCGGGATCTGGGGGTGTGAACAGCATCAAGTGAGATGTTCCCGAATTGAACTAGCAAGAGAAATATTTTTTTTAAAAAGCAATCCACCAGAAAGAATTCTTATCATAGATAAGGGTGCAGTCTAGTGGCAAACTTCATGAAATGCAGCCCCTTCTCCAAAGGAGTGTTAGAGAACTTCCAAAGGGAGGAAGGGAAATGTAAAATAGGTAACAGCCCCACCCCAAGTACTCACAAAAGGGTCACTGCCCACTGGTCATTTTCTGACCTGCCTGTGTCTTCCATAGCCCACCTATCATGTCAATTTCGGAAAATACCACCTTCCTTCTATCAGGGCTTTAGTTTTTTTTTTTTTTTTTTTCATTTTCCTAAGAAAAGAAGGGGACCGCAGTGCCTAATAGACTGGCTCAAGTATCAGGTGGCACAAAAAGTTTGTTGTCAGGATCTCTGCTGAGCAGGTCCCATGGCCCTGAAATCAAAAAATCCCTGGGATGTGTCTGTTTGCACCCATTACTCTTAGGACAAGTTCTCCCCTGGTCTGGCACCCATTTCCTTAAGGAATGGTCCAGCCCAACAGAAATACCTCTTTAAAACAGCATGAAGGGTGGGTGTCACTCCAATCTGCCTTCCTTCCATCTAAAAACTCCACACAAGGACACCTTAGAGCACCAGACAAGGTTTACAGATCTAGCAATGTTTCCTCCAAAGAGGGTCTCAGCAACTCACTACTCCCCAACAATGCTGTTGGATGATGTCCCTTCCTGCAAGCACACAGGATGCACACACACATACACACAACCCCCTGACCACTTCTTGACCATATGACCAAAGACAGTCACCCTACTAGAAAGAAACTCCATTCCCAGACTTTCTGGCAGGAAGTGGGGGAAATTCAGGTTTTCTTTCTTTTCTTTTGCTTCTTCTTCCTCTTTGTTTTTTTTTTTTTAAACTCAACTCACCACCCATCACCGACAACTGTACATTACTGGTCCCCCAAACACACACACACACACACACACACACACACACACACACACCTTACATGGTAACTCAGATACTAGCCGACAGTAGTTTTCCAAAGCTTGGGAAGAATTTCTTGGGCATGGTATATATCTAGTTAGCTAATAAGAAAATGCATATTTCTCCAGCCAGTATCTTGGCTAGTTAAGGGACAGGAGGGGAGGGGACACCAAGTCACTCTCATTGTGTTCACTTTGCTCCGAAGAATTTTCCCTTCCACTTGCCCCTCCACGTCCTCCCCTTCTCAGCAGCTCCAGCTTGTCCCCCAAAGCCCCTTTCTTACATTCCGCGGGGAGGAGGGCGCTGTTCAGGGAGCGAAGGGGAGCCCCCGTGTGTCTAGAAGGCCTCTCCCCACCCCCACCCCGTGTGAGTTTGTGCTGCAAAGCTCCTTGGCATCCTTGCCTGGGTTGGGTGTTGGGGAGCTCAAATTGCAGCTACAAACTGGCTGGCAGCCAGGGGCCGTCTATTTAAAAGCGCCTGCTCGACCGGAGCCCGCAGTCTCTTTGGAAACTTCTGCCAGGGGGGAAAAGAGCTAGGAAAGAGCTGCAAAGCCGAGTGGGCTTTTTCCTTTTTTTTTTTTTTTCTTTTTCTTTTCTTCTTTTTCCTCCCCTCCTTTTATTGCCCCCTCCATTTCCACCCTTCTCCCGACTTCACGCACAACCTGCGAATTTCGAAGAGGTGGTGGCAGAGTGGGAGAAAAAGAGGTGTTAGAGTTTGGGTTTGGTGTGGGGGGGCTTTTTTCCCCCTTGATTTCAGCCTTTTCTCCCACCCTTTCGGCTGCCGCCAACGTCTTTTACCTGTTCGTTGGCAGCCGCACGCCCCTGGGTTAGAAAGGAGTGGGGTGTGTTTTAGATTTTAAGCAAAATTTTAGAAGACAAATCCATTTTTCTCCCCCCCCCCCGCCCCATCCACCCTCTTCTTCACAGCCTCCGAGCTCATTATTTCGGTGGTTGCTTTAGGGTGAGCAATTGTGTGACTTTTCCCTCTTGCAATTCTGACCGGGTCCTTCTGGGGGGGTTCTCTAGCCTCCGTGCACTCTGCGTGCACCTGGCGCGACTCCTTTTCCCCCCTACCTGTTGCAAGTCTTTAATCTTTGCAACTGGGACTTGCTCGCAGGCACCTCGATCCTCCTTCTCTCCCCACATTTTGCAAGTGTCTGGGGGAGGGCATCTGCTCTACCTGCCAAAGATTTAAAAAAAAAAAAAATCTCCGGACGCCCTCTTGGCACCTTTCTCTTCTCCCCGCACTCTCGCTCTCCTGCCCCGCCCCGAAGGGAGACTCTGAGAAGATGGTGCTCACCACGGTCCTCCTGCTGCTGGCCGCCTATGCGGGGCCGACCCAGGGCCTGGGCTCCTTCGTGCACTGTGAGCCCTGCGACGAGAAATCTCTCTCCATGTGCCCCCCCAGCCCCCTGGGCTGTGAGCTGGTCAAGGAACCAGGCTGCGGCTGCTGCATGACTTGCGCCCTGGCGGAGGGGCAGTCGTGCGGCGTCTACACTGAGCGCTGCGCCCAAGGGTTGCGCTGCCTCCCCCGGCAAGACGAGGAGAAGCCGCTGCACGCCCTGCTGCACGGCCGCGGGGTTTGCCTCAACGAAAAGAGCTACCGCGAGCAAGCCAAGATCGGTGAGCGCGCTCAGTGTGCCAGTTACGCGGCGCACGGGCGGGGAACACGGGACGGGTTGGGCCCGCGCGCGCTTTGCGCAGCAAGTGGCTTAGAGCCGGGTGTATCTTGGGAGTCTTTGGGGAGGGTCCTTGCACCTCGGACTTGGAGCCCTGAAGTATTCTGCCACCCTGGGAGGCTGGGTGTCTATCCCAGCCTCCCCTAGCTTTTGCTCCTTCTTCGCCTACCTCCACGTACCTGAGCCCTTCCTCACCTTCCACCTCATCCGAATACTGAGCTCCTATTCAGTCTCAAGGTCCAAATCCCCTGGTACCCATTATCGGATCTGAAAAAGTGTATGTTACGTTATTGACTCCCTCCTCCACCCCACCTCACACTTTTTTCTAAACTTGGGGGGAAAAAACCCTCTTTTGTTAAAATACTGGTTTAATTGGGGCCTGGAGAGGCGTTACCCATCTCCTGAGCTGATTCCACCTTTGTCCCTCCCAGCCCTCCACCCCACCCCCGTTCCCTCAGAAGTATCCAACCCTCCACCCCTACGCATTCGCGCGCCCCCGAGCGCGCAAGCACACACACAGCTTCAGCAGCAATTACCTTTCGGATGGGGATCTTAAGCCCCTCCCATGTGTACACAATGCTTTTGACTGGATATGATTACAAAAAGCTTTTTTTTTTCCTTTCAGTAAGGGAAAGAATACTTTAGGGGCGCTGAGGTAGGGCATGGGGGTGGAGGGATAGGAAACAATCATTTGGTGTTCGTCTGTAAATCTGGTTCCCTTTTTTTGTCTCCTCAATTCCGATTTTACCTAGGATGAAAGGTGGACATAGGGTTGGAAAGCAAAGAGGGCTGGGGGATTCAAACTTCGCAACTTCCCGGAGTATGCTGATCCCCCCTCCCCATCCGGTCCCCTCCACTCCACCCTAGCCCCAACCCCCCGCCCCAAGTCTCTCAACCAGATCACTAGTGGGTGTGGCGTAAATGCAGGAGGGGCCTTGGAATGCAAAATTCAAGGGGCGGAGGAAAAGTCCACGCGCCAGAAGCCTCCCTCCGCTTGCCCCGCCCCCGTTTCCCCGCCCCCAAATTCTCGGCGCCAGGAGTCTGGGGTTTAAATGATTGACAGAGCTGCTTGTTCAATCAGAACAGTTCTGCCTCCTTAAGCTGGAGTTACCTCCAGTTAAACACGAGTAACTCATTTTGGAGTTAACTGACTTTAAATACTTATGTTTTAACGCTACAAAAGTCTGAAAAGTCAACTTGGTTATGGATGTCTCCTAAAGGTGTTAACACTTAGCTAAAATAATGTTTATTTGGTGTAGTTTCTTGCATTGCCATTCTCTCCCACCTGTCCCTCTCCGTTACTCACAAGMAATCCAACGCGAGTTTTCTTAAAAGCAAACTATGGACTCTAACACGTAGGAGAGGAGTGCTTCCACGCAGGCCAAGAGGCAGGAGAACCTGCCTGGGTTCAGCTTCCATCCCTGGCGAACTATAGAGTCTGACTGTGGCAGGCACTAGCCCCTCCAGCCCTGCAATATGTGATAGTAGTTCAACGGGTTGCAGCCTAAAAAAGACAAGGGAAATAAAAGGGGGGGCGTGGGGGGATGTGCAGGCCCCCGAATCCTCAGGGACCAATTTGCCGGGTTATTTTTGTTAAGCTCCTTCCAGCCGAAAATTTATGAATTGATAACCCGGCCCAGGAGCTAGCACTTGGGTAACAATCCTGTCACATCACAAATATGCAAGTTATCACTCACCTGCTTCCTGGCCCCATTTGTTTTGCCCATGTGTACGGTTGATGTAGCAGGTGTGTGCGCTGGGCGCACGCGCACGCGCATTTGCTGAGCGGACAGCAAAGCAAGCGCGCGTCCAGCTTCCCAGTTCAACACGCTGTAAGCGCGCGCATGCACACACACACACACACACACACACACACACATACACACACTCACACGAATTTTGTCTCAAGCAAGATCCCCTTTAGAGTTCCCTGCAACTCTTCTCAACTCCCACCTTCTGGGTGCCTTTGGCCCAACTCGAAGCACCTTTTCCAACGCTTCCCAGCCCCAGCGCTTGTCGCCAACCCCGCCCGACTAAGGCAGGTGCCCGGGGGCGCTCCACCACTACCGAGGCTGACGTCTTCCTCGGAAAGACCGGGTGGGAGTGGGAGCTCCTGGAAAAAGCCTTTCAGCTGGAGATCTGTGCCTAAAAGGCTGGAGATGGCGCAGACACTGTTTTTAAGAAAARGAAAGGGGRGGGGGGGGGGGGGGGGGGCGTATCCTTTCGGTCCTATAGCCAAAATTCCTGCCCCCTATTCATCTGCCCCCTCCTCTGTCACCCAAATCTGAGCATGGACTTGCTGCCTCTCCCGCAGTTGCAAGATACATAGATATATAGAGGGAATATAGATATATAACATTGTATATTGCAATATAATATGGCCACTTAATGTGCATATACTAAATTATATATTTACATATACAACCAAAGAATCTATTATATGTTTATATTATATAACACTCCCCCCCCCCMAAAAAAAAAGGTGCATTTCTGGAATCAGAAGTGGGGAGTGGAGGAGTGTCCGGCGGCAGGCAGCTAAAGCTCCGGGAGGGTGCGGGGCGGAGACTGGTGTTTTGCTGGGCGCGTTGCTGAGCAACCCGAGCGGGAGTCGCCTGGAGAGCTGGGCGCTGGGAGCGCGCCTCTCCTGCATTTTATTTTGGCCAGTTCAGGGGCAGGGATAGATATAGAAACCGAGGGCGGTGTGCGTGAGCCTGCGAGTTGGCGAGAGACCGGAGCTCTTTATTGGGCCCAGCTTCACAAATGTCCGGGAGCTGGAGCGAGTCGAAGAAGGGTCGGCCTTTGCTCTGGCWTTGTCAGGGGAAGGGGCCTTGGGCATACCCAACTGGGTCTGGGAATCCTCGCCTGTGCTGGCAGAGACCTGAAGTTTGAAATGTAGGGAGCAGCCCTGGGTTTCAGTCCTGTCTCTGGGAAATAAGAGGCAAAGAGAGAAAAATATGCCTCTAGGAAAGAAAGAAGAAAAAAAAAAAAACGCGTTACCCACGTGAAAATGAATTCAGCCTTTGCTACTTGGAGGGGTTTGGTCTCCATCACCCTGGCTTCAACTCCAAGCCCAGTCCAAATGCCATGCTGAAGTCAAGTTCCAGCGTTAGCTTTTTTGGCCAAATTTATGTCTGGGTTGAACAAGATCATGGAAAACTGAAGGAGCCAGATTCCTTTCCCACCCGCTCTCCCTCCCTTTGAAACAAGTCTTTGAGAGGCTGGCTGTGCCTGAGCCAACCAAAACGGGAGGTGGGAAGACGGTGCTTTAACTTGACTTTTCTTGCCTTTTYCCCCCAATCTTTCCCTTCTTTCTGCTGTGTCAGCTCAGACTGGACGAACAAGCCTGGCTGGCGCAGTGAGGGCCGATTTTCTTTCCATTCCTCTGATTTCCCTTCTGGCGCCTCCCTCCCCCTCCCCCCTCTCTCTCCTTCAGAATGCCATCCCCCAACTCTCCAGCATCCCCCGAGGGCTGGAGTTTTAAGTCTGAGCAGCTGTTCGTCCTGGGGCTTGAGCTGGCTTTGAGTAGGCAGGTGGGCCTGCAGCTGCAGAGGGAGGGCCAGGCTGACCCTGAGCCAGAGGTCACCCTGAGGGTTAGTGCAAAGGGCATGGGAGCAGGAATCCCTAAGGCAGGGAAGAGGAGCGAGTGGAAAGGGAGGGAAGATTTGCCAGAAGTTTTTACTTCTACCTGAGCAATGCCTATGAAACTTTTAAAATATTTAAAGTGTTAGAAAATAAAACTTTGGAGAAGGATCGCCACACTCCAGAGGCACTACATCCAGAAACAGGAAGAACTTCATAAACAACCAGGTACCATCAAGGGACAGAGAAGAAGGGAGAGGGCAGAGAATGATTGTCATGAGAGATAAGGGGGCACGCAGGAAAAGTTTCAGGAGAAGTTTCGTTTCACTCTAGTTCTGCATTTTGACCACAGGCGGTCCGAAAGTCACAATTCTCAAAGGCGATCCTTAAATTCTAATCTGGTATATTATTCAAAGCAACAAGGTTGATTACATATTTGCAGAAATACAAAAGCACCTAAATTCAGATTGTCCTCCTCTTGTTTCCAGTTTTATTTCTTCCATGATTTCTGTTATGATTTTTTTTTTTAAATACAAATCTACAGAAGTGACTAGAAATCTCTGTGAGAGGARAAGTGGCCTTTCCTGCCTGTCCACTCAGCTTATCGCTCTCTCCAGGAATTGTCTGAGTACTGGCCAAAGAATTTTAAAGCTGGAAATAACCCATGGCGATCTCTATAGTCAAGGTCCTCATCTTTATGGATGAGGATGCTGAGGCCAGGAATGGGAAGTCACTTGCCCAAGATAAGGGGCAGAGTGGGTGGCAGAGACAGGACCAAAGTCTGTTCTTCCCTACAGTTCTAGCGCCCCTTCCACCATTCTGGACTACTTTACTGTTCTCTAGGGCTCTTGCTGGGGCCTACTGTAACCTGTCAAGAAGCCCTTGGTCAGCACTGCCAAATGCTGTCCTCCCAAGGTGAAATTAGAGCCATCCACTTTGGGAGGCTCTGTTTTAGGAGCAGGAGAAGGAAGTGGAGACTGCAGCACCTTCTTGTTCTTGCTCTTGCTTCTATCCCTTGTTCTGCATGGTCTTGCAGACAGGGCTGGTTGATTCCAGTGGTTTGATCACGGAAATGGGTCAAGGAGGGTATGAAGGAATGATATTCAGCCCAGCCTTCAGTTCCAGGTGCCATTTCCTGAATGACAAGAAGTTCCCTCGATGTGACCAGGTGGGCTCTTGCTGCCCCTTGGCTGCACAGTGGCCCAGCATCTAAAGGGGCACAGAAGTGGCCTGTTTCTATGGCAACCTGCATCCAACAGCATGGCTTTCCACAGGGCTGGCCAGCAGGATGACAAGATATGAGGTAGGGTGGGGTTACAGAGGGGCCTGGGGGATTTCTGCATCAGAAAGAAGAGCCCAAGAGAG